ACTTATTATAACACCTAAATTCTTACTTATTATAACACCTAAATTCTTATTTATTACAACACCTAAATTCTAAATTATTATAACATCTAAATTCTAACTTATTATAACACCTAAATGCTTACTTATTATAACACCTAAATTCTTACTTATTATAACACCTAAATTCTTATTTATTACAACACCTAATTTCTTATTATAACACCTAAATTCTTTCTTATTAAAATACCCACATTCTTAATTATAACACTTGAATATATATTTTTACAATCAACGTACATGAATTATATACACATCTCAAATTCCGTTAATGTCATAGCATTATAGATTGGTATGGTGTTCGTTTAAATCCCTCACCCTTTGTATCAAAATCGTGTTGGGCTATTGACATACCGATAGATTTTTTACGTGGAAAAAAAAAATTACAATGAAATAACTGATGGGATGGACACGAAGAAAAGTGATCCGACACTGGCTGAAAGATAAAACATGCAAGCAATTTGGATCTTGGATGAATGCTTTCATGAGACAGGCGTGTGAATAGATTTAAGACTGTAGCCAGTACTAACACGCCATTGTTATAATGGGACAAAAGATCAGTGTTACACGGGTGGGGGGGGGGGAGCACAGAAGGAAGGAGGGTGCTGGAGGTAAGAGGGTGGTAACTAGGACAACGGTTGAGGTAAGAGGGCGGTAACTAGGACGACGGTTGGGGTAAGAGGGTGGTAACTAGGACGACGGTAACGGTAATGGCATGAGGGTGGTAACTAGGGCGACGGTTAGGGTAAGAGAGTGGTAACTAGGGCGACGGTTAGGGTAAGAGAGTGGTAACTAGGACGACGGTAATGTTAAGAGGGCGGTAACTAGGGCGACGGTTGGGGTAAGAGGGTGGTAACTAGGACAACGGTGGGAGTAAGAGGGTTGTAACTAGGGCGACGGTTAGGGTAAGAGGGTGGTAACTAGGACGACGGTTAGTGTAAGAGAGTGGAAACTAGGACGACGGTTAGGGTAAGAGAGTGGTAACTAGGACGACGAATAGTTTAAGAGAGTGGTTTCTAGGGTGACAGTTAAGGCTAGAGAGTGGTAACTAGGACGACGGTTAGGGTAGAGAGTGGTAACTAGGACGACGGTAAGGATAAGAGAGTGGTAACTAGGGCGACGGTTAGGGTAAGAGGGTGGTAACTAGGCTGTCGGTTAGGGTAAGAGGGTGGTAACTAGGGTGACGGTTAGGGTAAGAGGGTGGTAACTAGGGTGACGGTAAGAGTAAGAGGGTGGTAACTAGGGTGACGGTTAGGGTAAGAGAGTGGTAACTAGGATGACGGTTAGAGTAAGAGGGTGGTAACTAGGGTGATGGTTAGGGTAAGAGGGTGGTAACTAGGGTGACGGTTAGGGTAAGAGGGTGGTAACTAGGGTGACGGTTAGAGAAAGAGAGTAGTAACTAGGGCGACGGTTAGGGTAAGAGAGTGGTAACTAGGACGACGGTTAGGGTAAGAGAGTGGTAACTAGGAAATCAGTTAGGGTAAGAGGGTGGTAACTAGGCTGTCGGTTAGGGTAAGAGGATGGTAACTAGGACGACGGTTAGGGTAAGAGGGTGGTAACTAGGGTGACGGTTAAAGTTAGAGAGTGGTAACTAGGACGACGGTTAGGGTAAGAGAGAGGAAACTAGGGCGATGGCTAGGGTAAGAGAGTGGTAACTAGGGCGACGGTTAGGGTAAGAGAGTCGTAACTAGGACGACGGTTAGGGTAAGAGAGTGGTAACTAGGACGACGGTTAGGGTAAGAGAGAGGTAACTAGGACTACGGTTAGGGTAAGAGAGTGGTAACTAGGACGACGGTTAGGGTAAGAGAGTGGTAACTAGGACGACGGTTAGGGTAAGAGAGTGGTAACTAGGACGACGGTTGAGGAAAGAGGTAAGTAATTAGGACAACGGAAGGGATAAGAGGGTGGTAAATAATACGACGGGCGGGATAGAGGAAGGGACCAAAAACAATGTTTGGGGTAGAGTTTATCCTTGTAAAATGTTAAGAGGTTAGGGAAGGGGAAAATTGAGGTTAAGAGAAAAGTGGGTATTGATAGGTTTTAGAGCAGGGAGGCACAGAGCTCTCTTGGGTTAAGATGGAAGGCTTGTGGCAATAAGGAAAAGATGAAATGGTTATTGAAATACGGTTACCATGGAAGGGCTGTAAGAATATATGATTTCGATGGAAGGATTGTGGTAATATGGTGACGATGAAAGTGTTGTTGTAATATGGTTACGATGGAAGAGTTGTGAGAATAGGGTTACGATGGAAGAGTTGTGGAAATAGGACATACGATGGAAGAGTTGTGAGAATTGGGTTGCGATGGAAAAGTTGTGGAAATATGGTTACGATGGAAGAGTTGTGAGAATAGGGTTGCAATGGAAGAGTTGTGGAAATAAGGTTACGATGGAAGAGTTGTGGAAATAGGGCTTACGATGGAAGAGTTTTGGAAATAAGGTTACGATGGAAGAGTTGTGAGAATAGGGTTACGATGGAAGAGTTGTGGAAATACGGTTACGATGGAAGAGTTGTGGAAATAGGAAATGCGATGGAAGAGTTGTGAGAATAGAGTTAAGATGGAAGAGTTGTGAGAATAGGGTTAAGATGGAAGAGTTGTGGGAATAGGGTAAAGATGGATGTTGTGGAATAAAAGTATTAGAATTGAATTAGAAGCTGTCACTTTTCTTCTCCTTATATAATTGAACGGCAGCCGATGGCTCACTACAAACAGATGTTTGCTTTGTGTAGCTGTAGACAAACATTAACAAAAATATCTTTGATTAACAAAGTGTCTTTGATTAACAAAGTGTCTTTGATTAACAACAGTGTCTTTGATTAACAACATTGTCTTTGATTAACAACAGTGTCTTTGCTCTTGTCTGCTAAGCCGTTTATCTTTAAAATAATTCCACTTAGCATGGGAAGACACACACACACACACAAACATACGTACACACGCACGCACGCACGTCAGTCACACCCACACAAATTCGATCAATTTGAGACGAAAATCTTGAATATTCCATCTAGACAGTCCCTATATTCACTACTGAATGGGTTGCAGTGGTGCGCTAAGATTCAAGCATCTCATTTCGATGCAGATTGTATCTGTTCATTATTCAAGTCTTGGAGAACGTCCTTAAAGTAATAAGATATTAACGCAATTTTGAGATGCAGCGTAACTCGTCTCTTTGGTTTTAAAGTAATGTACCATATGAAGAAAGCGGGGCTTCTTTCAATGCAATCTATTCGACAGGGTCTAAGACACCACGTTTTTTTTTAAACTGACGGAGTTCTTCCAATACAGGAGATCATTTAATGTGCATTGTATCTTGTTACCAGGTGGCATCCCTTGGTCAAGATGTGCTGACCACACGGACGGATTGGGTGCGTTCTCTTCCTCCAGGGGCCACTCTTGGTCACACCCCCGGGACTCACCAACATCCTCGACCGATGCACGTATGTTGCGCCAGTCCCATCTTTTGTTGCTGCAGCCAATCAGAAAAGGAAGGGTGGGCGACCCCGGCCAGGGTCAAGGCTGAGTGTCGGGAAGCCTACAATGGACTGTTGTACCAAGCGGCGGCTTCTGACCGTGATGACCAGCGTGTGCGCGTGTGCTGCCTTCGGCCTGCTCAGCATCTCTGTAGCCACGGATTACTGGCTCTTCACCAAGGAGAAAACCAAGGAGACCCCGGGGAATAAGACGGCCACCGCCAAGTACAGGAGCGTGTACTCCGGGCTCTGGAGGAGATGCAAATACGGTAAGACCAAGGTCTGGCCCATGGCTAGTAGTAACTACCCTGTCATGGTCGCGATGCATTTACATGTTTGAATGTGCGTTTTTGTTTCTCGATAGTGGCAGACGAATACTCTTTTAAAATTAACTATTACAAAATAACACGTCGAAAGACATATATAATATATATATAGTTAGTAAATTAAATTTAAATTTTATTATATCTTAATATCATTTTTAAGAAATGACTTATCGCTTGGCTTAACACCTTGGAGCCCAATTTAATATTCCTTTATCTTCTTGCAAATAGAATACTTTAAAGCCAAAGACTCAGTGCCGTAGCTAGGGTTAGGGTTAGGGCCACCCATGGCAAGGGTTACGGTTAGGGCCGCCAGGGGCCAGGGTCAATGCCTCTCGTAACTAGAATTTTTGCCGCCCATGACAGTTCAAGATCTTTGCCACCCTGTCCACGAAACAAAAAAAACAACAATGTATTTGGCCAAAAGCGCCGCCCTTGATGTAAACGAAGAAATTGCCCCCCCCCCGTCCCCACCGCCCCGCCCACCGCACCCTCCTCACCTCCCCCTACGCTTTAGCGAGTACTTTGCTTTGACTGGTGCACTCGGTAAATAATTCATTAAAAACACACATTCCTTTGCATTCGGCTTGGGTGTTCAGACTCCCAAAGGCATCAGAAACATCCCATAATTGTATAAGACTGCACCGTTACTTCCAGTGGACGCTATTCAAGACACTTTCTCATACGACCGTCTGAATGGTTATTTTATTTGTCTGCATTAGGGCTGTGAAGGATGTCGTTTTTTTTTTTAAAACCCATTCCGGATTTTTGGAGAAAAGACCCGGCAGCTCCGATTCCGGGTGTTACAAAAATAAGAGTTATTTTCTTTAATGTGTTCAGCCAGTGGGGAGAAGTGAAAAGTCCATGACTAGAAGGAGTAGCTATCATGCCGGCATCAAAGTTAAAGGCTCCATAACAATAATAGTAAAATAATCCTAACCCAGCGGTTCTCAATATTTTTATGAGCCTTGAGCCCTTTATATCATTGTCCAATTTGTTGCGGCCCCCATTCAGAATTATCCCTCAAAATTGAGAAACGAGTGTTGGGAAGAGGAAGCTTGTTTGTTGATGAAAACAATTGGTTTCTGCAATTTTGATCGGGCTCGGAGGGAAGCGGATATAAGGGCTAAGACGGGAGTAGGAGACGTAGGGAGGGCTCTGTAAGTCGTGACACAGACATTTTTTGGATAAATTCGCACACCTCGTTACAGCCTTCCGTGGGAGCTGCCCAACTTTTTAAGTTTATATGCACACACACATACACAAACATAAAAATAGAACATAGATCATATATTATCTGTTGTTGGTTTTTTTAATGAAAAGAAACTGACAAAATATTTATATTAAATCACCTGTTGACATCTACCAAATGAATCATATTTAGTTGCTATTTCATGTAGCTGTATTTTAGTCAGTGTACTCAACAATAAGAGAGAAATCCAACCAATGTTAATGATATTAAAAATGAAATATGAAATAAGACAAAATGCATCATTTACACACACACACACAGACGCACGCCTCCCCCCCCCCAACCACACACACATTTCTGAAACTTTTAAACGACCCCTGACATTATGTTAGACAATCCCTTAGGTGTTCGTAACCCACATGTTGAGAACCACTCCCCTGATCCACAAATACAACAAAACTCAAAGATGGAGCGCTGAGCTTCCTTATGTCCATTTGTGTTGCTGACCGTTGGTTGGTAGCAGGTTTTGACTTTTTCTGATACCTGATGCCCCGATCGCATATAATCATGTAGATAGCGTCTTAGCCTTCCTTCAGTTAAGCTAATTGCGTCACTTATTAAATAAGTGCAAAATCACATAACTTTTACTAAATTATGTGACATAACTTATAAATGATACGCACACACAAACACACTCGCACCAAACACACACACAATTGAAACAAAAAATGTTGCTACTCATTTTCACCACCCAATCAGTATCATCAGCCAATCAGTATCATCAGCCAATCAGTATCATCAGCCAATCAGTATCATCAGCCAATCAGTATCATCAGCCAATCAGTATCATCAGCCAATCAGTATCATCAGCCAATCAGTTGGTATCATCAGCCAATCAGCAGGTGTAATGAAATATTGATTGTAAATAGAAAGTACCATGGTCAAAACCAAAGATATTCATATTCTATAACAAATATTTACACAAAGCTCGCACCAAGCACGGGATTATTTTCAACGCTTTGCAGTTTCATTTAGCTCACATTTAGTTTCTTTTAGCTTACATTTAGTTCCCTTTAGCTTTAGTTTCATTTAGCTAACATTCAGTTTCATTTAGCTTACATTTAGTTCCCTTTAGCTTTAGTTTCATTTAGCTAACATTCAGTTTCATTTAGCTTACATTTAGTTCCCTTTAGCTTTAGTTTCATTTGGCTAACATTCAGTTTCATTTAGCTCACATTTAGTTTCTTTTAGCTTACATTTAGTTCCCTTTAGCTTTAGTTTCATTTAGCTAACATTCAGTTTCATTTAGCTTACATTTAGTTCCCTTTAGCTTTAGTTTCATTTAGCTAACATTCAGTTTCATTTAGCTAACATTCAGTTTCATTTGGCTTACATTTAGTTCCCTTTAGCTTTAGTTTCATTTAGCTAACATTCAGTTTCATTTAGCTAACATTCAGTTTCATTTAGCTAACATTCAGTTTCATTTAGCTAACATTCAGTTTCATTTAGCTAACATTTAGTTTCGTTTAGCTAACATTTAGTTTCGTTTAGCTTACATTTAGTTTCGTTTAGCTAACATTTAGTTTCATCTAGTCAGTTTTCAATTACTTTTTGTTGTTTTTTTAAATTCAGGTCAAATGTAAACAAATTATGTAAAAAAGATATACTGATAAAATATTTCCACCCATAGGATTGAACCCACTATAGAAATGAGATGATAACCTATTTTTTAAACACCCGGACCCAGATCCGAATCTCACCGGGCCCGGGTATGTGCCGGGTGTGCTATTACTCGGCGTTTCCAGAGACCCGGGTCAGTGGCAGGCATAGCTCTAGTTTGTATTGTGTGCCTGGCGATATTTTTATTCTGCCCCCTTCTGCCGTTATGTCCATCGTATGATGACTTCAACTCTTCTGGTGGGGCCCACTTATTGTTATTGGGTCAGGCTACGACGTTAGATCATAAAGAAGACGGATATAAGTTTCTGATCAGAACCCTAGAGACCTGGACTCACGATGAGCGTCAGTCCAAAACACAATGGGAGTATAAATCGTTAAAGTCTACACACAATAGACCAAGCGGGCAGTAATAAAATAATGAAAAGGTCATATGTGATTGGACATAAGTAGGTGAGAGGACAGCAAGAGGAATGTGATGGAACATAAGTAGGTGAGAGGACAGCAAGAGGAATGTGATTGAACATAAGTAGGTGAGAGGACAGCAAGAGGAATGTGATGGAACATAAGTAGGTGAGAGGACAGCAAGAGGAATATGATTGAACATAAGTAGGTGAGAGGACAGCAAGAGGAATGTGATGGAACATAAGTAGGTGAAGACAGCAAGAGGAATGTGATAGAATATAAGTAGGTGAGAGGACAGCAAGAGGAATGTAATGGAACATAAGTAGGTGAGAGGACAGCAAGAGAAATATGATAGAATATAAGTAGGTGAGAGGACAGCAAGAGGAATGTGATAGAATATAAGTAGGTGAGAGGACAGCAAGAGGAATGTGATAGAATATAAGTAGGTGAGAGGAGATCAAGAGGAATGGGATAGATTATAAGCAGGTGAGAGGACAGCAAGAGGAATGTGATAGAATATAAGTAGGTGAGAGGACAGCAAGATGAATGTGATTGAACATAAGTAGGTGAGAGGACAGCAATAGGAATGTGATAGAATATAAGTAGGTGAGAGGACAGCAAGAGGAATGTGATAGAATATAAGTAGGTGAGAGGACAGCAAGAGGAATGTGATAGAATATAAGTAGGTGAGAGGAGATCAAGAGGAATGGGATAGAATATAAGCAGGTGAGAGGACAGCAAGAGGAATGTGATAGAATATAAGTAGGTGAGAGGACAGCAAGAGGAATGTGATGGAACATAAGTAGGTGAGAGGAAAGCAAGAGGAATGTGATAGAATATAAGCAGGTGAGAGGACAGCAAGAGGAATGTGATAGAATATAAGTAGGTGAGAGGACGGCAAGATGAATTTGATAGAATATAAGTAGGTGAGAGGACAGCAAGAGGAATGGGATAGAATATAAGTAGGTGAGAGGACAGCAAAAGGAATGTGATAGAATATAAGTAGGTGAGAGGACAGCAAGAGGAATGGGATAGAATATAAGTAGGTGAGAGGACAGCAAGAGGAATGTGATTGAACATAAGTAGGTGAGAGGACAGCAAGAGGAATGTGATGGAACATAAGTAGGTGAGAGGACAGCAAGAGGAGTGTGATGGAACATAAGTAGGTGAGAGGACAGCAAGAGGAGTGTGATGGAACATAAGTAGGTGAGAGGACAGCAAGAGGAATGTGATGGAACATAAGTAGGTGAGAGGACAGCAAGAGGAATGGGATAGAATATAAGTAGGTGAGAGGACAGCAAAAGGAATGTGATAGAACATAAGTAGGTAGGATGACAGCAAGAGGGATGTGATATAAATATAAGTAGGTGAGAGGACAGCAAGAGGAATGGGATAGGTTATAAGTAGGTGAGAGGACAGCAAGAGGAATGGGATAGTACATAAGTAGGTGAGAGGACAGCAAGAAGAAGGGATAGAGCATAAGTAGGTGAGAGGACTGCAAAAGGAATGTGATAGAACATAAGTAGGTGAGAGGGCAGCAAAAGGAATGTGGCAGAACATAAGTAGTTGAGAGGACAGCAAGAGGGATGGGATTGAACATAATTCTACTTTGATTGGTCGTAACGAGGGGTGGGCGATGTAAAAGTTTTAACAAGGGAATGAGAACATGCCACTCATGCCATGTGGTGTCAAGGTTCCATAAGACTGGATCAGTTTGTTTTTTAATTCCATCTGGTTAGGTGTGCTTATCTTGCACAATATGGAAGTGTTCTCTACATCTGTCCAAGAGGCGATGGCCTGTCCGGCCTAGATACGACATCCGGTAACGGGTCCAAGCAATGGCATAGAAAACATTGCGGCTAGTACAAAGGAAACCGTCCCTTATCCGAAAACTGCGCTTAGGAATGGGAATGCGTCAAGTCTGGATAACAAAAGGACAGATATTGCAACTGTTGAGTTCACATGGCTTGGTACAAAATGGGACGGGGGCAAAGTTGATGTGACTTCGCACAAAGATATCTGCCACGTCTGAAAACAAAGAAAGGCGGGGAAGTGAAAATGTCGTGGGTTTCAGGGTCGGCGAGGAGAATGGCGAGGTTTTTAATGAAAACATGTTGGGCTATGAAATATCCAGGAAAATATGTGAGAATAAGTTTAGTCCTGTCAACATTGGCTCTAGGACGAGACCTGATGGCATCAGCATGAATAATATTTTTAACTCTTTGAAGGATGGGTTAGGAAATGGTCAACTATTTCTATGCCTTGTCCCAAAGGTCATCTCTGACTGGCAAATTCGACGAATACGAAATATTTGAGAAAAGGGAAAAGAGTTTCTACAGGATTTAGGGTGGGAAAAAGAGTAGAGTAAATAGCTGTGGCTGTCAGTAGGTTTAAAATTTGGTGGAGGTGAGAATGCTGCCTTTGTGAAGGGTGACCGTAGTGTCCAAAAAAGTTAGGTCTAAGAGATTAGTGATGTGAATTTAATGGAGGTGTGAAAAGAGCCTACATGCCATTCTGTATGTCCTTCGGCCGGCAATACAAATTTCCTTATTGCTCGACATCTTGTTACAATGATATTATCTAAGACTAATTCACTGCGAACGCTTCTCATAGCTGCATTACACGCTGTTTGTACAATACTTCCAGAAACAACATTCGATTTATTGGCTTAGGAAAAGGTTAATAGTTTTGTAAGGGAAAAAAACGCTAAACATCAACAACAAAAATAATGATAATATTTCACATTAGATCAGTCCCTACTACGAATAGATTAAAGACAAAACAAATCATTTGAGTTTGAATTGAGTTAAGTTTGATAGAACTAAACAAGGTTTCACACTATAGCAGGAAATGTAACGACGTTAGAAATATAATTAGAATTACAAAGGGTTAACTTTGCAGCCATTTTGGGTCTATGTATGTCTATGTTAACATTTACGTAGCAAAGCTCTTGGCATTAATTTGTTGTCTACACCATTTTCATCTACTCATGTATTTCGCCCTATATGATAATTGTAGTGGATACGAACCAATACATAGACGTTGTGTAGTTTTTAAGACTATTTTATACTTTTAAAGGAAACATACAATTTCAAATATTGAATTGATTCACAAGCAAATAAAGATATTCTGTTTGATGCTATTGTTCAAAAAACGTTGCAAAGATATTTTTTTTAATTTTTAAAACCATTCACCTTACATGATTCAGCTGTATGGTAGAGAAATAGCCGTCGCTTCCAATATATATATTGAATCCCAAATTTCCATATATACCTCTTTGCCACTTATAAAAATGTAGCACACTATTCCATCCAAATGTAGTACACTAATTCAGACCCAAAAAAAGCAACCTATGCATGCTTTATGTAGAACGTAAACCAGCTTTTAGCTAAACATTTGCCAAACCCGAGATTATTTTTTTAAAAATTGACATTGCAAAAATATAGTTTATCAATTAATCCTGTGCGTGCAATTCGTCATTCACTTCATTCAGATGAGTAATAATGTTCACCAAGGCTTCAGGATCACACTGTCTATAAATAAAGAAATTTATTATTTCCACTATCAAATCTTTGTTCCGTTGAATGAATTTGTAAATCTTAATTCACCTTAATAAGATGATGACAAAGTTTCACTCAGCTATGAACAAATTGAGCTGGCCGGATTTAGCCCGGGAGCCGGAGATATTCCCCTCGCCCTGCCATAGAATTCGCCTCTGCTGGCCTAAGGTTGCTGGTATTGATTGAACTGTGCCTTCTGCTCTCTTGACTGAGGAGCTGCCTGTAATCAGCATTGCCATCAGTTGATATCAGTTTAAGGGCTGCGATCACTCAGCTACGTTGTCACTCTGATGACTTTGTTTTGTCCATTTCCAAGTTCTCAGTAAACCTTATTGCCTGCGTTGCTGACTATCTATGTAGAAAGAGGGTATAAATGAAATGACATGTATTAAATTCAAATCGGTTTAAAAATATGTTATCTGTAATTTTAGCTTCTTAGATGTGCAGTTTTAGCTCCGATTTGAGCATTTTCTCATGCTAATCATAATCAACTCTAATTTGTTCAATGGCGACTAAAAGTTATCACATTTTCACAAAGTCTCCAACAAAAGATCACACAATGTCTTGTAACCAACATTCATAAAGTTCTATAACATGAAATTTTTTCCTATCAAACGCAATCCCATTGCATGTTTTATCGAGTCTTATCTGGACCTTGGTCATTTTTTAAGCATTCCTTATCGAGTTCTACTATGGTCCTTGGTCATTTATGCATGTCTTATCGAGTCTCCTCTGGACCTTGGTCATTTATGCATGCCTATTTTTATTTACAGTATTTTTACGTATCCCCAATACTATTTTATATGTTAAATTGCGTTTTAAATTTTAATTCAATTGTTACTAATAAATAAATGGATTGAATATTTTTAAAGAACAGACAATTGTCTCGCTGATCTTTTTAAGCCAGGTTTATTCCCCTTTTACTTACCACCCTTAATTCTTTAGAACCACAAAACAAAAGAATATAAGAGAACAACATGGCTCATTTAAGATAATCAATAAAAAAAAATAGGAACGAAAATTTTGTACCATAAAAATTGCCGCCCGAGGCGAACACCTAGCCCTCACCCCTTTTTCCGCCCCCATCCCATTCGCCAGTGAGTAGCCGATATTAATTCAGATTGAGAATCTTCCAAATTGTATTAGATCAAGCATTTCCCCAGATACTTATCAGTGTACCAAAGTCCGGCTATCTGGAATGAACGGAATTCAGTGTTACTATGTTGTTATACAGATATCAAAACGTATGCCATCAAACAACCGATACAACACACTACTAATATATATATATCTATATAAATATATATATATATATATCTATATATATCTATATATATCTATATATATCTATATCTATCTATCTATCTATCTATCTATCTATCTATCTATCTATCTATCTATCTATCTATCTATCTATCTATCTATCTATCTATCTATCTATCTATCTATCTATCTATCTATCTATCTATCTATCTATCTATCTATCTATCTATCTATCTATCTATCTATCTATCTATCTATCTATATATATATATATATATGTATATATCTATACATAGATATAAAGATATATATATGTGTATATAGATATAGATATGATATATATATATATATATATATTTGCCATTGTATGCTTGTACTTAGTTTTTGTCGTGTTGCGTTTGTTTTAAATGTGGTAAACTATAGATTTGTTTTTTTTTAACTTTGTACCGTGCTTCGAGCCTTTGGGGATGAAGCGTGTTTTTGAAATGAACTTTATTATTATTATTATTATATATACATATATATATATATATATATATATATATATATATATATATATATATATATATATATATATATATATATATATATATATATATATATTTAGATATATTTATATAAGTAGAATGACCAAAAAAAATTCAGCAAGAGCATTTATGAATTTGACCAGCTGTATGCAAAATAAAAAATTTTTTTTTTTAAAAACCACCAAAATATATATTGTTGTTCTATTTCTAGGCTAACTCCAAATCTAAACCATTTGCCTGGCTGGTGTGCACTTATGTAACGACTACAAACTGGCTCAGACTAGTGTCAGCCCAGTGAACGGTTCATGTCGTTTTCGTCTTTTGTTCCGTCGTCGGAGTTTTATGTTAGGGAAATGCAACAGTCAGCTTCCATTGGAAATTGTGAGTTATGGTAGCTCATTTGTATAATTGTAGCTAGTTTGTTTGAATTATCATTATCCGCTGTAGCAAAATGAATGAATGGGGGCGCCCCAAAAAAACAAAAAGTGTTTTACAAGTACAAAAGGAAATGTGTCACCACCAATTTTCCCTCTAAGGATTGTTGGTTCGTGTGCAAAATTATAAAGTTGTGTGCACATTTTTATAGCATAATTTTTTTTTGTGCGCAAAATTTTATGGCCTACAGTCACAAACACACACTTAAGTGGAAATTAGCTGCGCGGTACTCAAAACTGCTGCGCGGCGTCTGTGAGATTGCTGCGCGGCCGTGCAGCTTAAAGGGAACATTGGTCACCACCAACTTTTAACGTCTGTAGAATAACTCACACTTTTTAATGGCTGATATTTAAATTGTGATCTTCGATTTTTTAAAAAAAATTACAACTTTCTCCCTCCCCCCCCCCCTTTACTGATTTCAAAGCCAAACCTATTGAATGATACGTTTTGAAAATATTGATAAGTTGAGTGCATATACAAGATGATTTTTTAGCGCCCTAGATCGTAGTTCAATCCAAACACCTCCAAAAGTTTTTGGAGTATGGACATGAGAGTAAGAAAGAAGAAAATGAGTCAAGGGATAAAGCGAAGAAAAAAAACAGGGGAGGAGGCGAGCCGATGCGATAAGCTGTGATGTAGAAGGAAAGACAATTGAAACAAAGGGGTTGGGGGGGGGGTAAAACATTTTTCTTATGAATTTAACCCATTACATGTTAAAATAACGCATTATTTACGTAATTTATCCTCTAACATCTTACTCAATCCAACAGTAAATGTGTGTCTGATAATTTTTCGTTAGTGTCTTCTGTCCTTTTTGCAAACAAACAAAAAAAAAAAAGGAATTTATTTATAACTTGCTGACGGAAATACTTTTTTTTTCGCCATTTTTTGTTGTTGTTGCCAACGACCTTGTGAACAGCACACACAAAAAACGAATCCCACCATTTGTACCAGTAATTGAACGTTTGATATGAAACACGCACGCGATGCACCACACTCATCTCATGATGTAGTTTTTTAAAAAAAAACGCCTGTTGTTTTTCTATTAGCGCAGACATTCGATAAGAACGCAAGTCACGTGATTTGGACCACGAAATGTAATTTCCCCCGACACCCCTCTGACCGACCGGTGGATCACTTTCTAATTCGATTTTTCTTCAATAGATTCCCGGGGGGGAGGGGGAGGGGGGGAGGGGGGAGGATTCTGAAATTTCTTGGTAGAATTCCGGTGTCAGACTGGACACCAGAGAAGGCATGTTGGGGGGGGGATGACGTGGGTGAGGGGTGAGTGGGGTGCTTTGCTTGAGGCATGTTTGCAAAGCCCACCTCCAATGATGTGTGTACAATGGCAGTTATCTATAGCGTTTCGTCACAAAATCATGACGTATAAGTGAGCACAAAGCCATGGCGCATTTGTGAGCCACGAGCCATAAGATATTAGTGAGCCACGAGCCAAGGCGTAGTAATGAGCAACGAGCCATAATGTGTTAGTGAGCCGCGAGCTCTATTTTGAATATAATGAAAGACCAGGTTGACATGCGGCTACGAGATCAACAGGCTGGCTTTCGCCGAAACAGATCATGCACAAATCAAATTGCTACACTAGGAATCAATGTAGAACAGTCCATTGGATGGAACTCCCCCCATATATATATAAACATTTTATAGACTTCAAGAAGGCCTTTGATAGCCTGGACCGACAAACTTTGTGGAAACTTCTTCGTCACTAAGGAGTACCAGGGAAACTAGTCAGGATCATTCAGAGCTCTTATGAAGAAATGACATGCAGGGTGGTGCACGAAGCTAGACTAACAGATGACTTTAAAGTGGAAACTGGAGTGAGACAAGGATGTCTCTTGTCCTCTTTCCTATTCCTCCTTGCCATTGACTGGATAATGAAAAAATCCACAGACAAAAAGAGGAACGGGATACAGTGGACACTCTGGCAATAACTGAACGACCTAGACGTTGCAGACTACATTGCACTTTTGTCCCAAAACAAGCAACAAATGCAAGAAAAGACAAAAGACTTAGCCACCATTTCAGCACATTTCCTACTCATTATAAATAATAGCAAGACAAAGATCATGAAGGTAATCTCAACCAACCAAGAGCATACCACTCTTGCAGGGAAGGAACTGGAAGAATTGGAGTCCTTTACATACTTAGGCAGCACCATCGACATCAATGGCGGATCCAACGCGGATGTAAGGGCTAGAATTGGAAAAGCCAGATCAGCATTCGTGCTATTAAAGAAAATATGGAGGTCGAAGGAGCTGAAGCTGCAAACCAAAGTCACAATCTTTAAGACAAGTGTCAAAACAGTCTTACTATACATGAAGCAGAAAATTGTAAAACAAAAAGGGCGAGCAGAAAGTACAGACATTCATAAACACATGCCTTAGAAAGATCCTGAACAGCAAATAGCCAAATACCAACACCAACAAATATCTACTGAAAAGGACTTACCAGGTGCCCATCGACAAAGACATCATAAAGAAAAGATGAAGATGGACAGGGCATACTCTCCGAAAATCCCCAGATAGCATCACCAAACAATCCCTACATGGAATCCACAGAGAAAAAGAAAGAGAGGAAGACCAAACAATACATGGAGACGCGAGCGAGAGACGGATACTCAAAATATGGGATACACCTGGAAACAACTGGAAATGAAAGCACAGGACCGTGATGAATGAAGAATTCTTGTGGGCGGCCGATGTCCCTGACTTGGTAAAAAGGTATAAGACGAAAGAAGAAGAAGAGCCACGAGCCATGAGGTATAAATGAGCCACAAGCCATAATGTATTAATGAGACACAAGCTATAATGTATTAGTGAGCCACAAGCCATAATGCATTATTGAGCAAAAAGCCATATTAGTGAGACACAAGCCATAATTTGCTAGTGAGCCACAAGCCATAATGTATTAATGTGCCATAAGGTATTACCGAGTCGCAAGCCATGAGGTCATAGCGAGTCGTAGGACATGATGTATTAGCGAGTCATAGGCCATGAGTTATTAGTGAGTTACAAGCCATGAGTTATCATCGCGTCACAAGCCAGAAAGCAATAGCAATTTGCAACTCATGACTTGTTAGCGAGCCACAATGCAAGAGGTATTAGCGAGTCACAAGCCCTTGGGGCATCAGAGAACATACATTGCTGAATCAGAAAGCTTCTCAACAAAGAATGAGACAAAAATAAGATCGCATGTCTACTGACTTGTTTTCCTAGTAAGTCGTTGTGGCGTCATGCTCTTGCATTAGTTTACATGCATTTTTGTCTGAACAACGCTCCAAAAAGCAGCACCATTTGAATAACTTTAGCTATAACTGCATCAGTGGTTTTACTGTGTGTGCACACACGCATTGAAATAAAACCCTCACCAGTCAGCCAGGGATCCAAAACATTTTGCAAAGTTTTACACTTACAAATGTTAGTAAGGTTATTTTATTCATGCGCCACATAATTTCACGTCATTGAAGAAAAAAAATGATAATAATAAGGTCACGTGGTCAAATATCGTTTCTCTCCAGTATCCGTTACTGGTATTGTAGATCAAATAATCCGTTTTACGATTATTGAGATTTAAACTTTAATCTTAAAGTAGCCAGAGATCATGTTCCACTCCACTGCACGTTATCTACAGGATGGAAAACCAAAATGTAACTTGCCTCCGTCGATAGTATGACAGAAGAGCGTGCAATGGGATTGTTTATATTCACTTACCCACAGGGTAAAGCAGAGGATGTGCTCCACTGTAAAGGCTCCGACCTTCTGTAGTCAAAGCATCTGCTGTGAATTGTAATGCAGTAAATAAAAATAAATCCACATGGCCTGTCATAATTATTTACTTATTTATTACCGCCAGAAGCTGGCTACGTTTCGGTGGCCGCCCTGTAGCTATAATGAATTGCCTGCTTTTTAAGAATAAATTTGCAGTGAAGCCAAACACTAAGAAAAATGACTAAATTAAAAAAATCAATGTTTTACCATTCTGGTAAGGACCAAAAGGTTGACTCGCAAGGTTCTATTATTCATGACGGCCTTTGTACAGCTACATTCACATACCACAAATAGCACCAATTTTATGAGCCACTATTTGCGGATCATTCAGTTACCCACAAATAGAACGAATTATATCGGCCACTATTTGAGTATGTGAGACATGTCCAGATGGAGGTGTGTTTGCTATAATGTGTAGAGAGAATCTTTCAGAGAGAAATTGATGCATCCACTCCCCCCACCCCCCACACAATAATCTCCAGGCTCTCCAAACAGAAGCGTGTGGTTAAGTAACCCTGTAAGGAATACCTATGTGCATTAGAGCGGACCTACCCTAAAGCCAGAGACGAACATTCGCACTGAAGCACAAAATTTTATACTAACTACAAGCATGAGCTCTAGTGTAGGTAGTCCTTAAGTTTTCTACCGGCCATGCACCTGATCATATCTATGAATTCTTAAAGAGCGGTGGTCAAAATAAAAAGAATTGCGGCTGGCTTCTATGAAAAAGTGGCGGGGGCGAAACGTCTGCTTTCTAAGTTCTATGGTTTTCTTCATTAGCATAATGCAGACAGCCTTCATTGGTTACACATACTTAGTCGCTCGAAGGGTGTCATAGCAAGAATGGATTTTAACTAGCCGATAACTGTGTAAATACCATCCCCATATTTCCTTTAATCCAGTGGGTCTTAAACTTCCTAATCCCACGACCCTTTAATACAGTTACTCTTGTTGTGGTGACCTCCAAACATAAAATCATTTTCGTTGATAGTTCATAAATATGCATTTTACGATGGTCTTAGGCGACCCCTGTGTAAGGGTCGTTCGACCCCCCCAAAACAAGCTATATATCTGACTGGCTAGCTGCTAACAACACATGCTATATATCTGGCTAGATGTCTACCAGCAACACACGTTATAATATATCTGACTGGCTAGATACCGACAACGCAAGCTATATATCTACCAGGCTAGCTTGATCACGCTATACATCTGGCTGACTAACTTCCTGGATAAGTATTATCAGTATCATTGCAAACAACTAACGAGCCTGGGAATTTTACCCCCCCCCCCTTTTTTTTTTCAAATGGTCAGCAAGAATAACTAAAATGTTGATATGAATAACTAAAATGTTGATATTAATAAATAAAATGTTGATATGAATAACTAAATTGTTGATATGAATAACTAAATTGTTGATATGAATAACTAAATTGTTGATATGAATAACTAAATTGTTGATATGAATAACTAAATTGTTGATATGAATAACTAAATTGTTGATATGAATAACTAAAATGTTGATTAAAATTACACGTCATCTTTGACCCCGGCAAACGTGCACTCTGCCTACACACGCGCCTTAGCGACTTGCTTGATTCTCGTCTACCAGGAGGGTAACGTCTCGTAACGAGGTCGGGAAAAACCTGCTCCACTCGTGCCACGGCGACTTTCAAAAGTCACGCGAAATAATAAAAATAATAAATAACTAGAGAGATGTGGCAGAGCTGGTAGATTCATGCGTTGCAGGTAACGCTTGAGTGAGTTAGATACACAGCTTGAACATGGGACTACTCAAAGTTTGTTAGCCCTTGTTACAGGGGATCCACTGACCCTTGTCTGTTACAGGAGATCCACTGACCCCCTCTTACAGGAGATTCACTCATCCGTGTTAAAGGAGATCAACTTATCCATGTTAAAGGATATTCACTGACCCCCTGTTTCAAGAAATTCACTGACCAATGTTACAGGTGATCCATTGTGTTAAAGTGGATCCACTATCCAATCACAACATGCTAGTAAAATAAATGAATGCCCTACCCTTCCACTATAACACACTACATATCTAGCTTTGAAAAACTGAACTACTACAACGACTCACTAGATATAGAGCTCTTTGAGAAACTGACCTATTATAACCACGTTAAAACATATCAAACTGTTGGAGGAACTGACCTACTACCTAGACTCCCTAGACGCCAGCTCAAAGGTAGGACAAGAAGACCTCGTCGGATTGTAGGGGACTCTAAAGGAATTCGTTTTATCCAGTAATAACCCGGAGACGCGTGCACGTGTCGTAGTCATGCTTGGTTGGTTTTCTCGTTGGTTTTTTGCTCTGCAGCCCTGAGACGCATGTCGGTCAAGTGTTCCAAAGCCTTTCCCCAACATTTCTAAGTAACAACTGAGGGCTGTTCTTTTCTTTAATGAAAATCTCAATGTGAGCTCTATGTTCATGTTATCGCAAGCGAACCGCTGCCACCTGGACAATAGTGTAGTAGGTTAGGTCAGGGTTGGTCGCGGTATATCCCGGTTGGTCAGGGTAGGTCAGGGTAGGTCATGATTGGTCAGGGTAGGTCAGGGTAGATCACAGTTGGATAGGTTAGGTCAGGGTTGAGTAAGGGTAGGTCAGGGTAGGTCACGGTTGGTCAGGTTGGCTCAGGGTAGGTCACGGTTGGTCAGCGTAGATCACGGTTGGTCAGTGTAGGTCACGGTTGGTAAGGGTAGGTCACGGTTGGTCAGGGTAGGTCATGATAGGTCAGGGTAGGTCAGGGTAGATCACGGTTGGTCAGGGTAGGTCATGGTAGGTCAGGGTAGGTCAAGGTTGGGTCAGGGTAGATCACAGTTGGTCAGGGTAGGTCATGGTAGGTCAGGGTAGGTCAAGGTTGGTCAGCGTAGATCACGGTTGGTCAGGGTAGGTCACGATTGGTCAGGGTAGGCCAGGAAACGTAGCTTGTGCCCCAGTCTGAAAATTTGCTGAAACTATTAAAGAGTGAGAAAATGTTAGCGACTAAAATTAATTGTTGAAACGATTATTCCCATCACAAAGGATAAATTCGGATATTTTTAAACACAATGTTTGTTGCTCGCATGGACTTTAAGGATCTCGTTTGAACGCACTTCTTGCCAATTTTAACATCTAAACCTCTCTCTCCACCAGTCTTGCCAATTTTAACATCTAAACCTCTCACTTCACCAGTCGTGCCAATTTTAACATCTAAACCTCTCTCTCCACCAGTCTTGCCAATTTTAACATCTAAACCTCTCACTTTACCAGTCGTGCCAATTTTAACATCTAAACCTCTCTCTCCACCAGTCTTGCCAATTTTAACATATAAACCTCTCTCTCCACCAGTCTTGCCAATTTTAACATCTAAACCTCTCTCTCCACCAGTCTTGCCAATTGTAACATCTAAACCTCTCTCTCCACCAGTCTTGCCAATTTTAACATCTAAACCTCTCTCTCCACCAGTCTTGCCAATTTTAACATCTAAACCTGTCTCTTTACCAGTCTTGCCAAATTTAACATCTAAACCTCTCTCTCCACCAGTTTTACTTATTTTATCATCTAAATATATATATCTCTCTCTCCTTTGCACTTGTTTGCCCCACCTGTTATGACGTATTCTAATTTACCCCAATTCAAAATATACAGAGCATGAATTTCTTTGAAAATGTCATCTTTTGTTTTTGTTAAATGTCATCCTTTATTGTTGTTCTATGTCATCCCTTGTTTTTGTTCTATGTCATCTTTTGTTGTTGTTCTATGTTATCTTTTATTGTTGTTCTATGTCATCTTTTGTTGTTGTTCTATGTCATCTTTTGTTGTTGTTCTATGTCAGCCTTTGTGTTTGTTCTATGTCATACTTTTATTTTGTTCTATGTCATATTTTGTTGTTGTTCTTTGTCATCCTTTGTTTTTGTTCTATGATTTCATCCGTTGTTGTTGTTCTAAGCAATCCTTTGTTTTTATTCTAAGTCATCTTTTCTTTTTGTTCTTCCTCATCCTTTGTTGTTGTTCTATGTCATCATCGGTTGTTCTGTGCGCGATGAGCACAGGAGCGCATTCTTATGTGACGTTAGAAAACCTATGAACTCCACGCTTCGGATGAATTTTTGTCGCCGACCAGATGTGTAGTTTGGTGACACCCTGATCTAGCTCGCCTTGTTTTACAGCCTACTTCTTCTCCGGCGAAGACTAATGGCCAGGTTTAGTACCATAACCTTCTTATCTAATAAATACTTCATATATCAGGGCTAGATTCGTACTTTGCTGCGACAAACTTAACATACCAGCTTGTTTTCACCATATCCTATTTCTGCGAAACACATTATATACCAGAGTTAGTACTCTACCCTAACACACATAACACAGTTAGTAATATACTCTAAAATAAGACACAGCACTATATACCACAGTTAGTACTATACCCTAATAATAGGACACAGCACTATATACTACAGTTATTACTACACCATAAAAATAGGATACACACTATATACCACAGTTAGTCCTATACCCTAACAATAGGACATGGCACTACATACCACAGTTAGTACTATACCCTAATAATAGGACACACTCTATACCACAGTTAACACTATACCCTAACAATAGGACACAGCACTATATACCACAGGTAGTACTATTCCCTAATAATAGGACACGACATTATATATATCACTGGGTGACATAGATCCAGGACGCTACAAAGCAGACTCATTACAAGCATATGTTATAAAAACCGAGCTTGCAAATGTACATGGTCAAAATGGTTTAATTATGACCCCCCTCTCACATTACCCCGCATAGGAGCCTCTTCTGTCAGGTATTTAATGACTGTGTCTAACGCCATGCGAATTATTCTTGACACCTGAGTGAGTCAGACCTATTTCTACTTTCAACCCTCAGTCAGAGGTTGGTGAGCAGCACAGCAACATCAACACGCATTTGTTACCTGCTGTTGTGGAATGTGTAGGTGGGCCTAGTTATAGTTTGGTGACAGCCACCAGGTGCCTCCCCTTTGTTTTGTTTTAATATTGACATCTCCCAGTAAGTGTGCCGTGAACTCCTTTTTCCCCAACCCTCCCTTGATTGGGCAAAGGTTGTTTACGGTCGAATACTTTCTATTCGTTCTAAAGAATGCAATCAGGTGACGCAATTTCGGGATTTTATTTTCTGGAGCATTCTAATTTAATCCCTATGTATAGGCCGGAAGCCTTCCAAGCCGGGAAAGAGATTCTTTGCTAATTTTCCTCGACATTTAGGAGACGTTACTTAATTGTAAGATCATTCTCTTTATTTGTGTGTGTGTAAATTAACATTTGTGTTTTTCAAGGGCTGGGCATTTTCCCTGGTTGTGCTGTGAGCTGATTTATTTAGTGTTACGATATTATTTGAATTTATATTTGTATAGAACGTCAATGGCATGATTCAATTGGCGTTGGTCTTGTTTTCTTTGTATGCTGTCCTTTAGTCCTTTTTTTGCATATTGTTCATTCTACGAGCCGAATCTTAAAACAGATTAAATGTTCAAACCCAAATAACGGTACGTGATATCTGTAAAGGATTGGATAAGTTTTTACGGCAGGCCTGCACTACTCACAATGTACTGCAGGCCGTAATACTTCAGGAAAAACTTGTGCGCGCCGAAAGAAAATAGGACGGGGGATAGGACCGGGGCTTGGGGGGTGGGGCGTGAAATGTCTTAAGAAAAGAATATTTCGTTACTTCACGGGCCGCAAAGTGGGTGTTGGCGGGACGCATGCAGCTCGCAGGTTGTATGTTGTGCAGGCCTGTTTTACATCAACCAGGCCCACATTCCTAGGCACATAGCATCTCTTCACACCACTAGTGCACCAATGTTTATGAAAGAGTTGATAACCTCAAATTATTTCGCGTCAGTAATCCAATCCCCAGTCGTTAAAATCTACCCCTGCCCCCCCCCCCCACCCCCGACCACCCCCCCCCCGCAAATATTAAACCGTGTTGTAGAACCCCTGTCACCTTGGCTATCCAGCACCCGTAGAAACACATGTGTGCAGTATCATACTATATAATGAAAAAATATCTACACCCCCACCCCCGACCCCCCCCCCCCCCGCAAATATTAAACCGTGTTGTAGAACCCCTGTCACCTTGGCTATCCAGCACCCGTAGAAACACATGTGTGCAGTATCATACTATATAATGAAAAAATATCTACACGTATTCACTTAGCTGAACATGTACCTGAGAGTAATACCTTCACAACGCCCGGGTAACCTCTTCTTGCCCTACTCTGCAAGTGCTAACAACTTACAGAGCAAAATATCTAAACATCAAGTATATGGGTCGACCTGAACAATAATATGATACAAATGTCCACAAGACACACGCGTATCCCATTTTGAATGTTTAGCTACTTCCGGTGGGTGTGTACAGTTTAGTTTTTGTGCCAAATTGATTTTAACAAAATATAGCATGCTAATGTATTGAATTTTAAAAAAAAAATAGTTGATATACACAAAGAATGTTTTTTTTTGAGATTTATAAAGTTGATTATTCCGGCTTCAGACACAACATGCAACGTTTCTATAATATCTACTGTTAGGTTAGCGGTTAGAGTATACTCGGAGGCACAGGTGAAATAAGAAGAAGCCATAACGCAGTCCACTCAAAATCATGCACGGGCACACGTACAAAGCACTCACACACAGATCATTTGGCAATTTCGCGCAGTTCTGGTGCGTTAAATTTGACCTGGCCAGCCGAACACTAACCTGCTGGCGAGACCACCGGAGCTAAGTTGCTGTTAACTCCGGTACTGTCACAGGTTGCTGTTTGATCTCTGGGTGTGTGTTCAACGGTAATAAGTAGAACCTGCATCACACAGGAGTGGAACAATCTGTAGGTGTATCGGGTGCACACGGTTGTTCTTACGTCTTAGGGTTAAGCGTTACTCACTCATGAAGTGAGCGGAATGTAGCAGTCTGTGGTTGCAATTATGGATGTATCAGAGACAACTTAGGGTTAAAGGTGCCTCAAAAATTAAACGCCCATTGTAACAATCCGTGGTTACGTCTATAGGTGGCTAAGATGGTTAAAAGGGCCTTAAGTGCGGTAATGGAAAGATATGCATTCACATCTGTAGATGTATAAACATGCTCTTAGGCTAGGCGCGCATCAAACATTAAATGAGATACAATGGAAAGACACGTAAATACATCTATGGGTGTCTAAGGTGGTCTTAGGCTAGGCGTACCGCACACAGTGAGCGCGGTAATGGAAATACATGTGTATACATCCTTAGGTGGAACAGAAAGGACTTAGGTTAAGCGTGCCTCACACATTAAGCGCGGTAATCGAAATACATGTGTATACATCCTTAGGTGTATCAGAAAGGACTTAGGTTAAGCGTGCCTCACACATTAAGTGCGGGCAATGTACACCGCCGGCCCAGGACAATATCTGAATCAATACCAGGCTGATTGCAGTGTGTCAGTGTCGCTTGATGGCCGGTCTGTTGATGCTCCCCAGACTTCAGGCCACGGATCACCATGGCGATCGATTTTTGTTTGTGTCGCAGAAACTAATTCAATTTTACAGTCCCCTCCATTTGTTGTTTGGTCCGTTTTGTTATTTCAGTAGGGTATTGAAGGGTGGAGGTTGGGGGGTGGGCAGATGAAAAAGATAGACTGGAAAAGGAGTGGTGTGGGGAGGGGGGGGCGATGCATCGTTGATTTCAGAGTAAATCGATGTGCGTGATGGTTGGTCTCGGTGTTAACAAGGTTGGTTTTTTTTTTTTTTGGTCTTCTTCTAAAAGGACATTTACACCATGTAACAACCACTATCTGTCTGAAGAAACATTGAATAATTTGATGCAGAACTTTAGACTGTGTAGGATCACTTATTTAGGTCGCACAACGAAATCTTTAAATTAACACCTATCCTCTTTTTGCCTTACAGAGAAATGCAAGCAAGACAAAGTCTTAATCTAAGTATGGCATGTCTGGATTGGATATTTTTTTTTTTACCCCGGAAGTTTTATAGACAGCTTAAATTAAATGAAGAGAATCATTGGATAATTTGATGCAGAGGGTTCGACTGTGGCTGATCACTTGTTCGGTCGCAGAATGAAATCTTTCAGTGAACAACTATTTTTGTATTTGTTTTATAGAGAAATCCACACAATACAAGGCCAAATCTATTTATGGCACGTCTGTATTGGATATTTTCCCCGGAAGTTTTATAAAGAGCAAAGATTAAATGAAGAGTAAATTTGCCGGAGTTTCACTTATAGAGTAATTCAATAAATTAAGGTTTTAATGCTTTTAGAAAAAAAAATGTATTTTTTTTTAACGTTATAAGACGTTATCATTGGGAATATTCCCTCTAATGCTTTCCAGCATCTACAAGTAAACTTTAACATGGAATACGTGCGATACCAACAGTCATCCGGTCTGAGCTCGTTCTATTTAATTTGTGAGCAAATCGAATTCTCTCAATGGGTAATAATATAACATGCAGCATAAACGCCATAGGATAATTCAGCACAGGCGTTCTTGGTGCACTTGGGGGCGGGGGAGGGGGGGCTGTTTTAGATCTCACCACCCCCCTATTCCCATCTTCCCCCAACCCCCACCCCCCCACCACTCTACTGAACGACAGAGTGATAAAAAATGTATCCATTTTCTCACACGTGTGCAGAGCCGAATGAAACATTTCCTCCAATTTTATGCTGGAACTCATAGAGACGTAGAGACGTGGAGACGTGGACACACAAAAACAAAACAAAAAAAAAACCTTCTAGTATCGATCCATCTCGTGTAGTCTGAGAGAGCGCCTTAGACACGAGCTATTAGAAGTGGTTCTCACCCACCACCCCCCCCCCCATCCACACTCCCCCTTCCTCAAATCGTATTTCATTTAAAAAATAAAAAGAAGTAACCCATCAGGAAGGGAGCAATTCCGGTGGGGAGGAAAGGGGGTGGGGGCAAGCACGTTTTACATGAGAATTCAACAAAGATTTATGTGTCAAAAGGTGCATGCATTACAATGATTTACTTATCAACACATGCATACATTACAATGATTCGTCTATCAACTCATGCATACATTACAATGTCTATCCATAAATCTAAACGCAGATGAGCTCTGTTGCGAGGTGCACGGTCGATAAAGCGTTAAATTGTTTCTTGTAAAGTTTGGCTTTCTAATATGAGAAATTGAATAAAATTCTCCTTTTTTAAAAAAAAGTGTGTGAGTTAGGGGGTGGGTTGTTTGGGTTGGGGGGGGGGGTTCATGACGTATGTAATGTATTCAATGAATGCCCCAACATATTTATTTATTGCCAGTGACGTATGTAGGAAATCGTCTCACCGAACAAGTATTTTTTTCTTTTAAATAAATAAAAAAATTATAAATATTTTATTTTTAAAAAATACGTCCAGCATATCAATGCAACGTATATCAAATAACTTCTTATCAATTTGCTGACACCTGTGTTTCGTGTCTTTGGAAGAAATGTGAGCGAGACACAGCCATGAATCTAAATATCGCTCTTCGATAATGCTTATTAAAAGCCGGCAGCGGAAAGATGACGACGGCCCTTCTTGAAAAATCGCCTTTTTCATCGGAATACTTTTCAATAGAAATATTACTCATCAAAAAGCATATTCCAAAGAACTGACTGGCATGTGAAGCTGGAGCCGGAAATGTACAGTCCACCTTTTCTGCTGGTGGTGTGCCCCACACACCCAGTCTTACTTATAATTCTTTCTTTTTTTCTTCTGTCTACACTCTGGAACAAGTCTGTGAACCAGTAGGGGACACTACTTGAATAATAAGAACCGCAAGCGTTGAAGCAGTTCGTTCCCTTTAGTCCACTCTGCAAATAAAAGATTTTATTTTTTGGCTGCGACTATTCGTACCCGGGTACCAGAAAGGGCAGACCCAAACACGCAGCGCCGCCATTCGCACCCGGGTGCCGTTAGACTCAAGCTATTCGGATGTCGTTTGTGGTAGTTTATTTTAGTTAAACTGAAGATGTAAGTTTTCCAACATATAGTCCATTCAATTATCTTTCATTTGATACCTCATTTTGTCTTACAAACCCAACGATAAAATTTTTAATAAGTTTTTAATCCCAACCTCTCACTTCTGGTACCTGGGTGCGAATAGCCACTTCGTTATTTTTTCCCCTTAAAGATCTATTTAATTTTACTTTGAGCACAATTTCAAAGTGATTTATCCTGCAGTTTTCAAGGATTGATATTTAGTTGCTTCCGATACACCTCGAACCAGGACTGTGCGCGCGTCAACCATTTCTAACAAGTTTTTAAACCAGCGTTTGTCACGATTGTTAGCTAAAGAGTTTGTTTTGATTGTTAGCTAAAGAGTTTGTGTTGATTGTTAGATAAAGAGTTTGTTTTGATTGTTAGCTAAAGAGTTTGTTTTGATTGTTAGATAAAGAGTTTGTTTTGATTGTTAGCTAAAGAGTTTGTTTTGATTGTTAGATAAAGAGTTTGTTTTGATTGTTAGCTAAAGAGTTTGTTTTGATTGTTAGATAAAGAGTTTGTTTTGATTGTTAGCTAAAGAGTTTGTTTTGATTGTTAGCTAAAGAGTTTGTGTTGATTGTTAGATAAAGAGTTTGTTTTGATTGTTAGCTAAAGAGTTTGTTTTGATTGTTAGATAAAGAGTTTGTTTTGATTGTTAGATAAAGAGTTTGTTTTGATTGTTAGATAAAGAGTTTGTGTTGATTGTTAGCTAAAGAGTTTGTGTTGATTGTTAGCTAAAGAGTTTGTGTTGATTGTTAGCTAAAAAGTTTGTGTTGATTGTTAGATAAAGAGTTTGTGTTGATTGTTAGCTAAAGAGTTTGTGTTGATTGTTAGCTAAAGAGTTTGTGTTGATTGTTAGATAAAGAGTTTGTGTTGATCGTTAGCTAAAGAGTTTGTGTTGATTGTTAGCTAAATAGTTTGTGTTGATTGTTAGCTAACAAGTTTGTGTTGATTGTTAGCTAAATAGTTTGTGTTGATTGTTAACTGAATAATTTATGTTGATTGTTAGCTAAAGAGTTTGTGTTGATTGTTAACTGAATAATTTGTGTTGATTGTTAACTAAAGAGTTTGTGTTGATTGTTAGCTAAATAGTTTCGGTTGAATGTTAGCTAATTTGGGTTGTCATGATTGTTAGCTAAATGGGTTGTCATGATTGTTAGCTAAACAGTTTGTGTTGATTGTTAGCTAAATAGTGTGTCTTAATTGTTAGCTAAAGAGTTTGTGTTGATTGTTAGCTAGATAGGTTGTGTTGCTAGTGTCTCCTTCCTCCAATAATTTAAGATGACTTCAGACCGTATCATCTTCTCCATGATTGACACAAATTCGTGTTTTCCATGTATCATATCGCACGCAGTGGCACACATCCACATAGACGTATGTCTCGCTCGATTATTATGCATGCAACGGCATCGCTAAACATGATTTATCTGTTACGCTACTCTTTATATTTTTCAACAATTTTCCAAGTACATATATTAATCACATAAATGAATATTATGATTGCTTGAAAGCTCTGAAAAAGGTATACATTGAATTGAACTCAGGAAGAAGTTTTCAATACAGAATTCGTGTGCTAGGAACGAGGCTTATTATTTATTTATTTTTAAATAAAAATAAATAAATAAAATATTGTTTGCAAACCATTTAGATCTAAGTGTTTGTCTAAGAAGTGAAATTTTATAAAAGGATAACTATATTAAAGATGACATCAAAAAGTAGATGTATTCCACTTGTTATTAACAAGACACGGTGTTACTGTGTAAAAAAAACAAGTTTATAATGCGTAACTTTCATTTCACTCTTATGCTAACACAGAAGCGAAATCTATCGAAATCTAACGAAAACTTCTCAGTACAAATAATACATTAAATAATAGTTATAATAAACGATGAAGATAAGAAAACTAGCATGACACTGATTCTTATAAGTTCTGAAAATGACGAAGATTGAAATGACCGGCAAAATGAGGCCGGAGGAATTAGCGTGAACTAATTGCACTTGACAAAAGATTCAAGTAACGCACTAGAAAAGATTTCCAATTGACGCCTGGATATTGTGCTATGGACAGGATAGCCCCAAACACGTTTCTGTGACTGCAGTTGGCCTTGTCACTGTTTGGGGACCGGTGATGAACTTGCTGACGTCCTGGTACCAAACTATTGATTTTAACTGTTACTTTCAATCTCATATACTACGTTAAAAATTACCATTTAATTCGGAACACGTGGCATTGTTTGTAAATATAGATGACAAGTTTAAGATCCGGATTCCTAAATTCAATAACTTATTCGCTAAGAAAACGGAATGAACGTCCCTTGTTCAGCCATATAATTCAACAATGATAGTGGTACATCTTATGAACGTCCCTAGTTCAGCCATAGAATTCAACAATGATAGTGGTACATCTTATGAACATCCCTAGTTCAGCCATAGAATTCCACAATGATAGTGGTACATCGAATGAACGTCCCTAGTTCAGCAATAGAATTGAACTATGATAGTGGTACATCGAATGAACGTCCCTAGTTCAGCCATAGAATTCAACAATGATAGTGGTACATCGAATGAACGTCCCTAGTTCAGCCATAGAATTCAACAATGATAGTGGTACATCGAATGAACGTCCCTAGTTCAGCCAATGAATTCAATAATGATAGTGGTACATCGAATGAACGTCCCTAGTTCAGCCATAGAATTGAACTATGATAGTGGTACATCGAATGAACGTCCCTAGTTCAGCAATAGAATTGAACTATGATAGTGGTACATCGAATGAACGTCCCTAGTTCAGCCATAGAATTGAACTATGATAGTGGTACATCGAATGAACATCCCTAGTTCAGCCATAGAATTCAACAATGATAGTGGTACATCGAATGAACGTCCCTAGTTCAGCAATAGAATTGAACTATGATAGTGGGACATCGAATGAACGTCCCTAGTTCAGCCATAGAATTCAACAATGATAGTGGTACATCGAATGAACGTCCCTAGTTCAGCCATAGAATTCAACAATGATAGTGGTACATCGAATGAACGTCCCTAGTTCACCCATAGAATTCAACAATGATAGTGGTACATCGAATGAACGTCCCTAGTTCAGCTAATGAATTCAATAATAATAATGCTATTTAACATACACTTAATAGGTGAAGCCATTTGAACTGAATGATGGCTAAGATGGTATCGCCATCAAGATGATTATAAATATTGCCTTAAATAATATGCTTCCGGTGGTATAAGGACAATGAAAACTATTCCCACACAGCGACCGGCAGCAGTATCGCGTACATCGCAGATATGCTTCATGTTGGATTTTTAACAAAATTTTTATGGTACTATGCTAATGTTGTTATGAAGCCTCTAAGTTTGATGAATTCATGATCGCTACTGGTTCTTTAATTATACTATTACTATTACTTCTACTGGTTCTTTTACTTATGCTATTACTATTACTTCTACTGGTTCTTTTACTTCTACTGAGTCCTTTACTGCTAATGGTTCTATTTCTCCTATACGTACAGTTTTCCCTTTCCCTATTTGGTGGAGAACATTTCTCGTCTTATGTAGGTAATACTAAATCTTAAAAATTGTAATACCCGGACCCGAACTCGGATTCGAAGGATTCGATTGACCCCTACGAATAAACAAGAACAATAACACAAACATAAATGAACGACATTGATATCCAGTCTACTACAGAGGTTCAGCAGTCCCTTAGAACGTCCAGTTCTCTCCTTATCTCACCGTGGATGACAGTATCACTCTTCTAACTCCAAATGGGCGGGCGGGGGTTGGGGTTAATAAAAATTCATGGGCTGGCACATTCCTACGTTTAAATGAAGGGCTTACAGTAATTGTACATCGCATAAAATCGATTAAGATGGTTACAAGCCTCACCCCCACTGATTTGAAATGAAATCACTTACTATTACTCTTTATCCCGAGGCAGTGACTTATTTTCTTGACTTGGGTGGGTCATGGAAGATCTATCAACAAATGACCCTCAACAAATCAGATTCCATTATTGATTGCAAGATCGATAGACTTCTTAATGTAGTTATTATTTATGAAGTTAACGCTACTTGAAACGATCTAATATTTTGATATTTCGTGAAACTAGCGAGTACCGGCATGCGTTTCTATGCCACTCAAAGAAAACAAAATTGTTTGTGTTTTAATTACGATTTTAAAGTAGTTTTTTAAAGAGACAATAGTTGTTTTTTTCCCGTCTGGTGAGTACACAAATATATAAGAAGGTTTTTCGAAGCGTGAGCACTTGAGAAACATGTTGTTTTTTTTTAAATTTAGACAACACAATTGTAGCGATTTATTTATCCATTCAGTAGTTCTGATTGAAATCCATCTATCCATCTATCCATCCATCTTTCCAGTCAAATCTTATCTTTTCTTATCTTATCTATCTATCTATCTAAATATATATCCATATATCTATCAATCTTTCTATCTATTCATCTATTTTTCTATCTAAGAAAGACTTAACCCATTTCTATTTTGAAAAATAAATTTGCGCTTGTGTAAAATGATGGATTTTGATATTCTTGGTTATAATTGTGTAAATGTACTCACGTTTTGTTAACGTCATTGATTTTCTTAATTTGTAAAAAGAAATACAATTTATTTTTGACAACTGTAATATCATTGCATTTAAAGATCTTGTCATCCACGTAAAATTGTTCACACCCTACTTCTTACCCCAGAAATATATGTACCTAAGAAATGTAATTATTTGTCAAATTCATTCTGAGGCGCATCGTGCAAATGAAACTTGAGGCGCATCGTGTGTTATCTTGGGCAAATGAAACTATCGTATTACTTCTACCCCCTCCCCCCCCCCCCAAACAAACATAGTTTTAAAGAAATTACTAAAATTATCAACGGGATTTTAACCCCCTAACTTACGCAAAAACCATTTTTTAAATGTGTTATCTTGGGCAAAAGAAACCATCGTATTACTTCCACCCCCCCCCCCCCCCCCCCAAACAAACATAGTTTTAAAGAAATTACTAAAATTATCAACGGGATTTTAACCCCCTAACTTACGCAAAAACCATTTTTTAAATATGTTTACATGCTTTGTTCTTATTTGGATGAGTGATAAGTGCATTAGTGAATGCTATTTGGATATGTAGTTTCGGTGCACTGATTGCATTCAACGGCATTTTCGTATTAAAAGTATATGCAAAGATTACGTTTTTTTAATTACATTATAACTTTCATAAAAGTTTTTTTTAGAAAGAATACAAAGTAAAAACGTATTAAATAAGTTAAAAATACAAAGCTAAGATGTATTAAAATTTTAGAAAATGTTATCAATTTAAAAAGTTATCTATTATTTTTATTCATTTTACTTTTAAGAAAGAGAATAATATGCTATCAGTTTTGTTACGCGCGGTTCTAAAATCAAAGAAACTTGGAGCTGAGTCTAATATAGGCAATCGTGCTATGACGTCATTTGTGTAATTATTTAGATCAAAATTTTTTTACTTTAACTTCGCAATATTAACTACGCACTAAAATACGCACAAATATAAACAGATGTTTGGGTTTTTCCGATAAATGTGATGAAGATGCAATTCTTAGTTCATACTATTTTAATTAATAATTTGTTTTCATAACTTTTACATTCGGAAAAAAATGCTTAAAATAATTCCTTGCTTGATACTTAAAATGTATTTGTAATTTATAATAATAATACTTAAACTTTTACTAAAATAAAAGCGGATTTAAAATATTTTTCTGCACATTCAAATTTATTCGATTTCCGTAAAATAATAGAAAATAACTATTATTGTTTTTAGGAATCCGAACGTATCTCCTCTTTGGCGTTATGTCACCCTAGCTCATTCTTTTATATATATATATATATATATATATATATATATATGGGTGAATTATTAAGCCGAGTATGCTACGAAGGGGTGGTTTTATTACGAACGTTCAAGCGATATATTCTTTTCTTGTTATTATTGACACAAAGAAACTTTTATACGGGTATCAGTTTCTGTTGTTGTTTGTTATGTTTTCATAGCGATTTGATCGTTAGTGATAGTGTTTTATTGGCGCAAATTGTGTGCGTCTTATTAATTTTAAACTGACGGATACTTATATCGTTTCCTTGGCATCAATTGTGTCTCATTAATCTACAGATTATATCTGTCTCTTCTGGCTGTTCTTATATAGAATACTTTACTAATCTACAGATAGTGAGCACAAGCCAGCCGATTGTTCTTATATAGAATACTTTACTAATCTACAGATAGTGAGAAGAGGCCAGCCGATTGTTCTTATATAGAAAACTTTTACTAATCTACAGATAGTGAGCACAGGCCAGCCGATTGTTCTTATATAGAAAACTTTTACTAATCTACAGATAGTGAGCACAAGCCAGCCGATTGTTCTTATATAGAAAACTTTTACTAATCTACAGATAGTGAGCACAAGCCAGCCGATTGTTCTTATATAGAATACTTTACTAATCTACAGATAGTGAGCACAAGCCAGCCGATTGTTCTTATATAGAATACTTTACTAATCTACAGATAGTGAGCACAAGCCAGCCGATTGTTCTTATATAGAATACTTTACTGACGAGGACAGAGAGGGACTGGGCCCAACTGACGCCATCTTGTGTAAGTAAAAAGTTATCGTAATTTTCCTTTATTGTTTATTTTTGCATTTGCTCGATTAAAAATTCCCTTTAAAAAAAAAAAATTAAAAAAAATTGGAGTTCACAACAAAATTTCAGCTTTCACTTTGAAACGTAATAATCGATTAGGTCAAATACTTAAAGCGCTTGCAATTTATTGGATACCTGAGTCAGGGCTACGTTAATTCATTTCCTAGTTACTTCTTAAAATTGATGATACCTTTTAATTAACTTAGCTTCTCTTTCTTTCATATATCTGTCGCGTTTAACGTGTTCCGTTCGTGACGCTGAAGAAGGCTTTAGGTCGATACATTTGTTTCGTATATTGTTGTTTTTTCCCCCCAATCTTTCTGACACTGCGTGGTTCACATATGTCTGTTCAAGTAGGCACTGGAAAGCGACCTTGGTATCGGGTCGCTTGCATGTGTGGTGAGGAGGGGGTCGCTTGCATGTGTGGTGGGGAGGGGTTCACTTGCATGTGTGGTGGGGAGGGGGTCACTTGCATGTGTGGTGGGGAGGGGGTCACTTGCATGTGTGGTGGGGAGGGGGTCAATTGCAGGTGTGGTGGGGAGGGGGTCACTTGCATGTGTGGTGGGGAGGGGGTCACTTGCATGTGTGGTGGGGAGGGGGTCAATTGCATGTGTGGTGGGGAGAGGGTCACTTGCATGTGTGGTGAGGAGGGGGTCACTTGCAGGTATGGTGGGAAGGGGGTCACTTGCATGTGTGGTGGGGAGGGGGTCACTTGCATGTGTGGTGGGGAGGGGGTCGCTTGCATGTGTGGTGGGGAGGGGGTCACTTGCATGTGGTGGGGAGAAGGTCACTTGCATGTGTGGTGGGGAGGAGGTCGCTTGCATGTGTGGTGGGGAGAGGGTCACTTGCATGTGTGGTGTCGGGGTTTTGAACCCCGCGTTTTTGTTGACATGGTTTCATGAGTGTCTCCATTATGAAATAACCCTTAAGTGAGGGTCTGACCCATTAAAATACCCCCACATCACTAAGACAGAGCACGGGCTGATTTTCAAGAAGCTGGAGTTGAAAAAGATATGTTTCGGACCCTCTCGCTAAAATGCTTACTGAAAAAAGTTGTGCTTCATTTTGTAAAGAAGCATTGGTTTAAAAATTGCATACATAGGTAAAAGAATACATTTCTAATTTTTCAGGTATGTTTCTTTCTTTCTTTATTTTTGTTGTTGTTGTTGTTTTGGTTTTGTCCTATTGACAGTCTTTTAGTTTGAGAACCATACCCCAAAAGATAATGTAACTCCCCTAGATCTCCCGTCGCTTCCAAATAATGTAACTTTCCCAAGTGTTACTGTGGTTTAAACATAATGCGATTATATTTGTCTCTTCCCCCCCCCCCTCAGTAAATATTCGCCAAGCCACCATGTTTCCACTTGTCAGTCTACTCATACTTCTCATCGGCGGCATCATGTGTTTCATCGGTCACTGCAACGACAACAGGAAAATTTTAACTTTTGTTTCCGGCATACTCTTTGTTTTGGCAGGTGGGTTGACATTGGTATGAATTTGATTATATTGTGGGATCTACATTTATGGAACATTTATGAATTCATATATAATACGAACACATTTTTTGCCTGATATAGCATGACGGGTGTATACAAAATGTTTTATAAAAAAGGTAAAAAGAAATGAAAAGGGACTCAACTGGAAATTACAAAAATGCAATTTTTGTTTCATAGGTTCTCCCATTTGTTAATAATTAATTGAAAAGATGTTCTATTTAAATGACCAATAAGACACTAAATAAAGGGAAAGAAATTGCATTTCTTGAAAATGCAACGCTGCTCAAACATATTCGTCTGTTACACCATAGATCAAGGCGAAAATACGAGGAGAATTATGTTATTTAAAAATTCACGATTTTTAAAGAATATTTCCTTAGCATAATTTTTTTTTAAATACTATGCTTTATAGGTTTGTGCACCCTGGTCGGCATTATTCTCTACATCGGCAGCATCACTGGCGAGGTCGGCAACAAACCTCGGGCCTCCATAGAAGAGCCGCGGTTCCTCTACGACTACGGGTCATCCTTCTTCATGGCCGTCGGCTCCTTCGTGCTGACCGAGCTCTCCGGCGTCTTCTCCGTGTACCTCTACATCTCCAAGCACAAACATTCCCAGCGCGTCAAACGGCTGGCCCTGAAGGCTGAACACAACGACAGGAACCACCAGGCCGCCCGCCACATCAGGAGGCTGCCCCGCGAGAACTCGCGGGAGCGCTCGCAGTCGCGCGACCGGTCCCGCGACCCGTCCGCGAGCCGGTCCGAGAGCTACTTCACCTACACCCCGATCTCGGACGCGTCCCACGAGCTCTCCAACTACGCGTTCACCCGCTCCAACACGAACAATACTATCTCCACCACGGCCGAGCTGCACGCCCCGAAGGAAAACTCCTCGTCCCAGCCGTCGACGTCGTGCATATTAATGAGGTCAGGGTCACCGCCGTCTGTTGTACCCTCTATAGATATTGTTAGACGTACGACACCGGTGTAGTGAATAGAGTTTTAACATAGATAATAATAAAGTATGCGTGCGGTTCTTTAACAAATGGGCGTCGGTGCGAATGAAAATATTAAAAGAATTGTTTTGTTTTTTTTTAAAATCCAAATGGCTTCGACTCCATACCTGTCCAAAATCATACAAAAAAAATGTGAGATTAGTTATATTTATACATATGTATATTTAAAACAAAAACGGATCCCCATGTTGTGGTTTGTACGTGAAATTGTTTTGTATTTAAATTAAAAAATAATATGTTTTAAAAATAACAGACAGATAAGACAGACAAGCCGAAAGTCGAGAGGCGGATAGGGGGGGGCAGACAGGCAGTCAGTGGATGGGCAGATATTGAGGACAGAAAGGCATGCAGATGGTCTGATGGGAAAGGCAGATTTTGTAGATGACATGTAGATAGATAACCAGATAGACAGGCTGAAAGACATTCGGATTGCAGTGGGAAAGACATAAATATAAATAGAGAGACATCCTGACGATCCGATAGACCGACCGATAACAGACAAGGGTACATATATATACAATGACAATACAGACATAGAAAATGGTACTTTGTTTAATGTTTCCAACTTAGTTGTATTGATTCCCTCTCACATGGGAATTGGAAGATTTGCCGCCGCCATTTCGCGGGAAAGAAAAAAAAAGGGGAGGAGGGGGGAATCGACCACAGGCGTATTGGTGGCAAATCGCCATTGATTCTCTCCCAAAACTTCCTTCCTTTTAATTTTGTTTACTGGATCTGTTGCGGAGGACATATTGATGATTATGTTTATTTATCTGTGCAAGTATCAATTTGTTTTTTCTTCGTCCCGACATATGCATCAGATCCCTAGTCAACGTGCTTGTTGACGATAAGCAGATGTTGTTAATTTAAAGACATTGGAACTTGCCATCATTGTCATTTGATCTTACACACTAACCATGTCCAGCATGCAGTGATATATGTTCTATTTTCATATGCCAAGCATTCAATAATTGAACACCCATAAAACTTGCAAGTTATTTTTTTTCCGTTAAATTAGTTCGTTAAAAATGTACTATAATCATTTTTGACATTCTTGTTTTCACCATCACGAATGCATGATTAATGGTAATTCGTTCATATTTTTTTTTTTTTTTTTTTTTTTTTTTTTTTTGAAACGTTGAGAACTTGAATTCTTCGACATGAAATGTTGCGTCAATTATGAACATGCCGTGTGTGTAGCTAAACATATGTTGATAATATATTTTAATTCATCTGAAAACAACAAAAAACAACAACAACGAATGTCCTTAAGATGAAGTTAGCTGCTGCGGTAGAACTTAACGTATCTGTAAGAATGATCCGAAGTTGTGGCTTTGCTCGTTAGAAATAAATACATGATAGATTTTTTGGTTTGTTTTTGTTTTGTTGTTTAAGATGAAAACGATTCGTAGACGATGCACATGAAGAGAAAAGAAAAGAAAAAAAAAAGACTTGATTTACTTTGCTTTCTTCTGAGCTATGAATATGAACTTGTCTCGTGATATTTCTTGACGCATGGCGTACTTTTACTTGAGAGCTGTTTGAATTTTTTTTTTTTTTAAACTTTATTTCCCACACTGTTCGGAGAGTTTGGCTATTTTAGGGGCCAAGAAGGCATACTAGGCAATTTCTGGGTTTGGTGTGGGGGGGGGG